TATATATTTTATGTGCATCGCTTTTTAGTAATCACTCGGGTATCTTTGGTAATCCTATATATCTTTGGTCGATCCTTTTGGTCGATCGAAAACTGTGTGAAATACTTCTTACGGCTTATACATTACTTTAAATCTTATCCTTACTGCTATAAATACTGTCTTCTTAAGTAGCAATTATTGTTCATCTTTGGCATTTAATCTTCTGAAACGTTAACAGTCTCACATTTCTCGCCAAAGACACGTGGTATAATCCTCTCGCGGTGCGCTCTCTGTACGTCTCCTCTTTCTTCACATTTATTCCAAGTTGTTCGACGAATAAAGGTTTTCTTCGGAAAAGTTTGCCATTTGATGGACGATCCCTCGATCGCCGAATCGCGTTGCGATCGACGTTGACGGGACTTTGAATAATCCGCTGTTCCTACGGCAACAGTCCTCCCGCGCATTCTTCTCGTATTCTTATTCACGTTCGTATCGCAATTTCTAATCTTGGCTGTTCGAATACACAAATATTCAAGTGACACTGTCGGTTTCGGTGACACGCGCAGATTCGTCGATCTCACGCATCGCCGCGAGTTTTCATTTCGAAAAACAAGCCGGCACGCACGAGATGCTCCGAAAATATCTTATCTCACGATTTCCCTTGGGTATTCTAAAAAAAAAAAAAAGAATTTTCATTCAAATTCTCACTTTACATGGAAAGAACGATTTCACTGAGGTATCTAAAAATTTAGCTAGATACAAATAAAAGAATAATTTTGTTCTTAGACTATAAAAATAATTATGTGCGACGTTCAAGCTGATTGCTAGAATAATAAAATTGTTTACTCATCATGCTTGAGTTCCCTGCAATTGTTCTTTGACGATTCAATAAAATTAGTTTCGGCTCTGTGTCAAAATTTTAGATGTTTCAGCAAAATCGTTTTTTCCGTGTACAGTTCTGTGGTCATTCGCGCGAGTAAATTACAAAACGACCGTACAACCGTACAAGATTGCACGCTTTGAAATATTTACAAAAGTCCTTCGCGCGTTACCAAAATTTCTACCGCGATATTCTCGGAAAGTGTCCGTGAAAGAGCGAAAAAACTTTACGGCGCACCTCGCTCTCGCAATTTCACATGTTTCGTCTCTCATCTTTACGCTTTGATGCCGCAGTAAAGTCACCATAAATTCCTCGCCATTCCTTTTCATTTTTTTTTTTTTTTTTTTTTGAAAATGTCAAGAAAACGGAGCACGAATATGATTAGTTTTATCGAAAGCTGCCTTCTCATCGTCCAATTCGGAAGCATCTTTCTTCATAAAGCGAAAACAGAACGGATAGTGACGTGTCTTGGAAAATTTCGGAGAAAGCGCACGAAAATATCCGCTTGCGACTCATCGCGCTGATGCATGTTTTCTGCTCCTTCTAGAAACCTAATTACGATGATTGTAAAAAAGTGTACAGTGCTATATAAAAACAGAGAATTTCTCAGTATTAAGGAAAGATCTTTGCTAACGTTTATTGTTCAAATCCTTGCAAAAATTATTATAAAAATAATTAAAATACAACGAGAATATTGCTGATTACTGTACACATTTAAGAACATTTAACATAACAAATGTTAAATAATGAAATTAAATTATTACAAGAAGAGAATGTATGTTTTAAAGGGAGGCAGTTCTTATTAAGGGACGACTTTTACTGAAAACTACGTTTATTGTTAAATTTTTTTTCCTTGCAAAAACTATTAAAAATAATTAAAAATATGAAAAATAACTACAATGAAGATATTACTGATATTTCTATACACGTTTTTACAAATAATAATAAAATAAAATTGAATATTACAAGAAGAGCATATTATATGTTATAAAAATGAAGAGCTTGTCAGTGATAAAGAAAGACCTTTGATAACATTTTATCGTTAAATCTTTTCTCTTACAAAAATTATAATGAAAGTATAACCAAAATTTTCCAAACAATTTTGCGCACGTTTTCAATTATTTATTATTTTCGTAAAAAGGTAGGGCTTTCGAAATTGACCCGTCAAAAAGATTGATTTGTCTTCCGTTCACGCTTTGTAGAGAACGATTCAATTTAGATCACGCGAGGAAAAGATCCGATTACGCGTTCACTGTAAAAAAGCCGGATTAATTCTGCCCGACGAATTCAGGAATAAATTCTCATGTGTCCGAACGTAGTGTTCGCGTTATTTCCGATTTATTTCCGAATGATTTCAAGATCAAGTACAAGCCGGCCACCGGACTGTTTTCAAGGTAAAGTATCGCCAATACGAAACCCCGTATTTGCCAATGAACTGATCAAATTATCACGCGTGCTTGCTCGGGACGACCGTAAACTGGAAACTGGGCTTTATATTCGCGAAATTTGAGTAATTTCGTTGGCGAAGAAATACTGTTATGTGTGCTCGACGGCTGCGGTGGGTTTTTATCGATGTTACGAAAGTATAAGGGTTTTCTTCGGCTCGGTGAAGTTGTGTTGTTGGATCTGTGCCAAGATAGGATGCGCGCGCCGTAACCATTTTAGAGTTGAAACGTTTTTGGGAAAATAAAACATTTTACACTTGTTTCCGCGCTTGCGGACGGTCTGTCGATGTTTTAACGGGAGCAACCCGTCGAAATGGAAAATGAGAAACGTTGGAACGTGCCAAAATTATCGAACGCCTCGAAACATAAAGAAACAGTCTACACATTGGACATTAACGAAATTCTCTCTTTTTCTTTTTTAAGGCCAAATGTAAATTTCGAATAACCCTGGTGGTTCTTCTCGCGTGTTGTCGATCAGCGCGCTGATATCAATTTTCCCAAGCAAAAATGTACGGAAATCGAGGTAAACTTTACACATACCTACATTAATATCTGCAAAAATCTTAAGTGTAAAATACGACTATACCGAATAGGCTTATTCATTTGCGACTCTTGCACGTGATACATGAACACGTTCTCATTAATCAAGTTAAGCGTTATAACTTATGCATAATCTTAATTTACACGTATAATTATCTCTCAATATTTTCAGTTGAGATAAACGAACGTGTAAGAGCCAATATCAATTTATGCAATTCTCCGTCCTGCCAATTAGCCACCAATTTCCCGCTAATCTCTGCACACCGATGGCTGAACGCAGATAAAGTTAAATATTCTTGAATATTAGCGCGTCGTGTCTTTCCTTCCTCTCCCTCCCCCTCCCCCCCACCCACCACCCTTACCCTTTCCTTCTCGAAGCGGATATCCGCAGTCCCGTCTTTCTTATTTGACTTCGCGGAGATGAGCAACGAACGCGTGGCGTAAATACGGACGCGAGCGTACAGTCGGGAGAAACCTTTTTTCCAGATGCGGTTGAGCGATAGGGAATATCGCGGGATGATAAGTGAGACAAGTGGTACCAGCGGATACACAACGAGCACGGGGATTGCGAAGTCTCGGCGAAAATGCTCGAGGGGGCCCCCGGCTTTATTTATAACCGGCACGGTGGGGGTCTCACTCGTAATTCCCCCCCTCCCCCTCCCTCTCCCTCGAGCGTCCCATTAACGCCACGAGCCGGCGGGCCTCGGGTAAGGCGAAACGATCGAAAACTCCGCGGCAATTAACGCACCGGCCACTTCAAAGGCACATCCGCTTTGATACAACCTCCTCTCCCCCCCCCTCCCCGCTCCGCACCTTTTTACGCCTCCGTACGCGGCGTACGTTATGCGTTACAACGTGCCTCGCCGCCGCTCGTCGCCGCCGAAAATCAGCCGGGCTAGGCAAGAAATTAGAAGGCCCGTAATGCTGTTTGACGTGCGCGCTATTCTATTTTAGCGTTTACGCACCGCGACTGCACTTCGCCGCCGCAAGCGAAACCGCCCGGCAGTAAACGGAGCGGATAAGCGCTCCTCAGAAATACCTGAGGGCGAAACGAGGCGAGGCATATAACGCCACGAGGATTTCCTCGCCTCTATCGCTTTTAGGACGGATTTACATCATCGGAAGCCGGAACCGTTCCGCTCGATAAGCAGAATCGAGATTACAAAATTAGACAGGTCCCACACTGTTAAACTTTATATAACGTCAAATTATAACCAATTTGAATCATTCCTAATCATTTTTCTATCATTCTTCAAATCTCACTACGCACCGCTCTTATTCAATATCGCCGTTATTATTCAATTAAAACGACAGATTTTATGTCCATTTCTACCAATTTAGATCAATTTTTTTAATCTCGATTTAATTAATTTTTTTCTAATCTTAGAACTAAAAAAAAAAGATAAAAAGTAAATGCCGTTAAATTTACGTCAAATTATATCTCATTTGACTTACTTTAAATTAGATTTTTAGAGGCCATCACCGCTCCTACTCAATATGTCGTTAATTTAAGTAAAAGAATGAAGTTGAATAATTTAACTCGAAAAAAAAAATGTCTTAAATTTGATTAAATTTGACTCAAATTTAGTTTATTATTTACTAAAAATATACATTAACATGGAATATACATTACTCATTTTGAAACTAAGCAATTCAATCACAGAAATGAATTGATTGATTTATATTTGGACACACATCTAGTTAAAAATGACAAAATATTATTTAACTTTAGGGATTATTTTAATTGATTTCTAACAATGCATAATTCAGGTTTGAACTATACTTTTAATAACTAATAACTATTATTATTAATGTAGATTAATATCCATTGTTAGATATCAAAGTAGCAACAATAATTCAATCCCTTGAGTTAAATAAACATTTTGTTATTTTTAACTTTTCCGTGTTTAAAATGTAAATTAATCCATTTCCATGGTTAGTTTCAAAGTAAACTATGTCCATATTAACGTATGCATTTAGTG